TCCCCCCCCCCCCTTCTTTTTCTATTTCCCCCCTTTTTTTCATCTTCTGTTTTTCTTTCTTTAACGTTTTTCTTTCTTTTACTTCTTTCTTGTTTTCCTTCTTGTTAACATTTTATTTTCTTTCATCCCGTTTATCACCCACTCCGTACAAGATCTTGTCGCTCTCATGCTCACTCAAGATATTGTGATGAAGATCTCCTACAATAGCAGGAACACTGAAGGGTGTATATGTTCCGGACCCCACAGAACAGAGACATACCGTAGCCAAGAAGTAAAACGCCTACCTTTAGAGTATTGAAATAAATTGTGTCAAAACTTTAAATCACTTGAGGTCTACACAATAATTGAAGAGAGTTCATAATTTTCCATGGGAAAACGAGATGTTTTACAATATAATATACAGTCTTAAATTGTCCAAGACAACCAACCAGGGTCGAGTTGTTATCTTAGACAGGCAGAGATCTCGAACGCGTTAGTTTTGAAAGTCAGAGACCTGTTTTAGGTTTCTTTGTTTAAAAAAAATTTAAATATTGCCCTGTGAAAAATTGTTTACTTCGGAAGTGAGTTGCTGTATTTCTTATACATTATTAAAACTTAGGGAAAAATACCACCACCACCACCACCACCACCACCACCACAACAACAACAACAACAGCAGCAACAGCAACAACAACAACAACAACAACAACAAACATATTATACACAGAACAAGCAGTGCTTAAAATCTTTTTCTTTATGCTGACATGTTCGTGGTTTGTAAAGGAAGCCCCGGATTGCGGCAAAACAAAATATGATGAATCTTGTTGGGTATGGACACAGGAATTTAGTTTTGTGTGCCTAACTCCACTCCCCCAGCCTGATGTTATATTCTTCAACATTAATGACAAAATCAGGAGCGTTCTGAGGTCTTGTCATGTCTTCAGGAACTTTGGATTGTTTATTGGCAATATTGTTGCAAAGCTCGCTCTACCGAGCTGCCAATAACGAGGATTCTTCTTGTGCATTGCTTCATACAAGCTCTTCTGGCAGAGATTGAATTTAGCTATTTAATGTTCCAAAGAAGCATACACAGATATGCGCGTGCAAGTTCACACGCACGCTCATACATGCACACGCAGACATAAATACACACTCATATTTATACTCACAATGACGCATGCACACACAAACACACACACACACAAACACACACAAACACACACACTCACACATACACATACACGCACATAAGCACCTTAAAACAAGCAAATATACGCACAAACACATAAACATATACGCACACTAACACACACAAACAAACACACATAAACTCACAAAAACACATATAACCACACATAAACGCATACACACACATTGATTTACCACCAACACTCAAAGAGAAAAGTGGTTCAATTAAGATCAGAACGTCAATAACCCGACAATAGACAATGGGCTCAAAGAGTGCTTAAACATTTATTATTGTCTAATAGCCATTTCTCCTTCCCTGACAACTGTCTACAGTCCTTATCTCTCCATTTTCTAGTCTTTATGAATTGGTTTTTGGCACTTATACGACCTATGTGTTGTAAGTGTCGTAAAACTTTTAATAAAACTAGAGGTGA